ACAAGTTAGGGAAGTCCAGAGCACATGATGTGTGAGAAGAGGCTGATGGAAGCTGACTTGTCCAACATCGAGAAGAGAAGGTGAATGGGAGATCACATTGCTGTCTTCCATGTCCTAATGGGAGGGCAGAGAGGAGACAGAACTATACTCTTCTTTAAGGTAGGAAGAGGTAGGAAAAGAAGCAACGACTGCAATTTCCAATACCAGAGATCCCAGTTTGATGGTGGGAAAGAAAATTCCACCACAAGAGTGGTCAAACACTGGAAAAGGTTGCCCAGAGAAGTTGTGGAGTCTTCATCCTGGGAGATGCTTGACCTAGACTGGAAACGGCCTTAAGGAACATGAGCAAATCTAATTTACTCTGAGAGATTCGATCAGATGACTGAAAAATCCCCTCCAACTGAAATAGTTGGGTGAATCTATAGTTCTTGCTCCATTGGTCTGTGAGGTATTGGCATGGACTGGGTGTGTTACTGTTGGGCAGCAGAGAGGGCAGGTGAGATCTAGGGGAAGGAGAAATACTATTTGATTAATATAGGTTCCTTGAACTTTGTCTGTGCTGTAGTTTCGAGAAGCTCTATAAGCTGTCTCTGTTCTTATCTTTAATTTAAGGATATATGATTTTCTTGTGGCTGTCATTATCACTACACGTAAGTGCATCTGTGTTGGGCTGATACCTCAAAATTGAACCTCAGTGCAACAGGAATTGTTAAAGGACTGAACCGGACATCACTGGCGCACTCAGTGAGCACACACAGACACAGGCTTCAAAAGACAAACTCAAATGGCTTGCCGTAGGCTGGTCTTGGAGATAGAGTACAAATTTAGATATTTTATGCATTTTGTCCTAATTCTATTTTCATGCTCTGAAAGATTAGAGAAATTACAAACATCACTTTCTTTTAATAAAAGATGAATAAGGACTTGGGGGACGGACGCCTACACACTACTTGCTTCAAACACACAACATGCTGTGATGCATAATATTTCTAAAAATGGGAGAAATACTGAGATGTTCAGATTGACATTTCAGTGCCTATCTGATTTAATTGTCTGCCTGAAATACAAGGTTCAATAATCCTATTATGTGTGTCTGGCACACTCCTCCTTCCTTAGCAATGTGCATCCCATAACTGCTGTAATAAGACAGAACAGCCAAAGCTTAACTGTGTGTGCCTCATCCTATCATTCAGAAAAGTTATATCGTCATCAGATGCAATCTATTGTTTTCTTTCCTGCTGTGTGGTATTGATTTTTCTAACCTTTCTAATGTTAAATTTGTTTGGCTTTTTAACTTTCTTCCCAAAGGTTAATGTTATTAAGTTGAGCAGGTATCTATAAAAACTACAAGCGTTATTACCTCTCTTGCAATTGTTACACTGTCCTGTCATTAAATCTTGGCTGCATTAGAAAGCTCTGTCTTGAAGAGTTTTGTCATTTGGGAATAATACAGTGAAGATTGACAAGAACTGCATTTGAACTGTTGTGCTCTTCTGTGGGATAAATTGTTGTATTTGATATGTTGGGAGGAGCAGATTTATCTAAAATTCTCTTACCATCAGTGAATGTGAACTGCATAGACATGAATTCCAGAGAGACTGTAAAGAGGATGCAGGAAGGTGCTAGTGCTGCCGCCTGTCCTCTTCCCCAGTACGGTCTGACCACACCGATCTCTTTGCCAGTGTGGCACAAGGAGAAGTTCTAAAGTCTCTGCCATTTCCAGAGCAGGTTATCTGCCTGATGTTGAAAGAGAATGAGAAATCACGATTTGATTTGAAGAAAGTGGCAGCTTTAATGGTGACACATTTTTCCATATGAACTACAGCAGTATTTGTATAAAGTGTTGAAGGTGCAAGTGGTGAACAGTTTCAGGATACCACCGTTAAGTCCAGTTTATTTTTGGTTACTGCTGCCACAATACTCCTCTGTATATCACCTGCCTTTGATGAATTGTGCATTTGGCATCCCATTTACACATTTTGATTGCATTTCTGTGACATGTATTTGAAGCATTTTAATGTGAATATGTGCAAAAGAGAATAGAGAGGCTGAACATAGGATGTCTATGTGCCACCATCCTGACATTATCTTGCTTTGGTAGTACATTGTAGTTGCTCTGAAATATTTTTCTTATTGAAGAATATCCTGAGATGCTAGGCAAGAACTAACCTCAAGTTAAATATTTTTAATAGTAGAGAGCATAAAGTAATACAATTTAAAACTATTTAAGCTGTTGTAGATCATCACTTTAAATAAACGAAGAAAAATAAACAAACAAAAAAAAACTAAAAAAACCCCAGCCAATTCAGTCTTCCCTGGGTGGAAAGCAGAATTGCAGTCTACCTGCAGCTGCCAAAACATGACTGTCCAAAGAGTCGATCAGGCTTGTTAGTGACTGCAGGAACGAGTATTTCAAAGTGCTGGGGGAGAGCAGGGGTTAAATCCTTTATTTATAAATCGGTACCAGTAAACCACTTACTTTCGCCCTGGCAAAAGATAAAAGACCTTAATTCTCTACTGCTGTTTTAAGAGCTGGTGACTCAGGTTCTCTCTCTTCTCCCTTGCTCAGCGTTAACTGTCCCAGCCACTGATTCAGGCTTCATCTGTCACCTTTTCATGCTGTTCAGAGGCTGATTGTGAAAGGCTGGGGAGGCTCTGTCTGTTCACAGTTTCTCACAGCTTAGTCTCTCTTGCCACTATCAATGCCAGTAATAAGAATGTCTGAGAGCACCCAGTTCTCAGTGGATAAGACATCTTTTCATTTAGAGTGGCTTTGATTAACAAATTCCCTTCACTAGTTTTCAGATCCAACTGTGAGCTTTCTAGGTGGACTTGAATATCACTTTAGCTTTCTTGGTCTCCCTTGGTGTCTCTGGCTGGCATTCCACAGCTCACATATTCATAACAGAGCCTAGATGGCTTGTGTCCCTTCTACCCCTGCCAATTTTATTTTTTGACCTTCCCTGATGAAGAGCGAAGACATAGCAGATTTGTCACAACAACCTCGTGCTACTTCCCCCATGGGGAAGAGTGGCTGGAAAGCTGCCTGGAGGAAAAGGATCTGGGGTGCAGGTAGACAGCCGGCTGAACATGGGCCAGCCGTGTGCCCAGGTGGCCAAGAAGGCCAACGGCGTCCTGGCCTGTGTCAGCAATAGTGTGGCCAGCAGGATTAGGGAAGTGATTGTCCCCTTGTACTCAGCACTGGTGGGGCCACACCTTAAATCCCATGTTCACTTTTGGGACCCTCACAACAAGAAAGACATTGAGGTGCTGGAGAGTGTCCAGAGAAGGGCAGCAAAGCTGGTGAAGGGTCTAGAGAACAAATCTTACAAGGGGCAACTGAGGGAAGTGGGATTGTTCAGCCTGGAAAAGAGAAGGCTGATGGGAAACCTTATCGCTCTCTACAATTACCTGAAAGGAGATTGTAGCGAGGTGGGGGGGGGTCTCTTCTACCATGTAACAAGTGATAGGACAAGAGGAAATGGCCTCTCCCTCACCGGGGAGATTCAGAGTAGACATAAGGAAAACTTTCTTCACTGAAAGGGTTGGAACAGGCTGCCCAGGGAGTCCTTGGAAGTATTTAAAAGGTGTGGAGATGTGATGCTTAGGGACATGGTTTAGTAGTGGACTTGAAAGTGCTAGGCTAATGGTTGGACTCAATGATCTTAAAGATGTTTTCCAACTGAAATCATTCTATAATTCTACAATTCAAATTGATGCTTAGCACCAAGTCCAGGCTCCAGCTTTGTCGTGTGACAGCAACATCACTTCTGCAACGGAAGTCTTTGATTCCATGTGCTGTTGCAGATATATGATGCTTCACCTCAGCAGAGCTCTTACTGCTACTTGAAGAGGTATTTAAGGAAGTATCCGTATGAGAAAGGCTACAGTTTTTGACCAGTTTTCCTTTCAGAATTTTTTGAGGAAGGAGAAGAGGTATAACAATAAGCATACTGTTATGTCCTCCCTTATCATAGAATCTTAGGCTGGTTTGCATTGTTGCGTGCAATCCGCTAAGCTCCACGCATGCATTGATGTGGGAGATTGTGTCTTCAGTACCTTTACTTTTACCACTAAGATAAAGACAATTTTAACATTTTGGGGTTTTTAAAATAGCGCACTTCATACACACAGGCACAGATCCGAAGATACTGTAGTCTGAATGCTTTTCTGTTAACAGTTGTTATTTTGTATAGCAGAAACATAAAATCTGTCAGTTAAAGATGAAGCTAGGAGGCTTTTAAGGGGATATTGAAGTGGTAGGAGAGGGAGCCTCTAAATCTGACATATAGGTTTCTTATTTTAATTTACGATGCTGTATTGCATATTGTGTATCTTTGAAACCTGTGTGCATAGTGACTTTATCTGGTAGATATAGTCTACTTTTTCTTACTCAACTTTTTATCAGAGACTTAGGAATTGCCTTAGCTCTTAATTAAGAAGACTGAACTCCTGCTCTTCTTCACCTTAACATGCTCTTGTCCATATTACCCTTCTGCAAGGAAATGGGTTTTGTATCACTGCAAATTAACTAATACAACTGCACTTGTTACCGGAAGCTTGAGCACTTTTGTATGCTTATATTTACACATATTTGAATGGATGTAGCAGAAACATCGTTAACTCTAGCTCAGAGAGGACAGTTATATTCCTGGCACTGCATCCTGAATGTTACTGATCACCCAGGGCTTGCTACACGAGAACTTGTCCATCCAGCAGAGCACTGTAGAACATACGTATCCAAATTCACAAATGTAATCGATGGGTTTAAAATATGTGCTCCTGTGCCTTTTAAACCTCTGCTTCATAATAATTTGTTTCACTGGCATCTATGGTCTTTGGGCTCTGTAAGCATAGTAGTCTTTTACTTAGTTCTGCATCTTCATGAAGACTTTAAGAGATCTTGACTACAGTTAGTTTCACCAAAGACAGCATTAGTTGTCAAAACTAAAAGATGACTGACTTTTTTTTTTTTCTCTGTTTTGCTGCTTCTTTACTAGGGATGTGAGTTAATTGAGACCATGGATCAGGACCTCACAGATTTCACCAAGTGCCTTCAAATACTCCAGAAAAAGATAGAGAAGAAGGGCCTCCAGGTAAAGGTGACGCTTCTTTTGTTTCTAGTTCTTAGTAATTACCCTTCCTCTCAATGTATTTAGGTGTATGTTTTATGTTTGCACTGAAATAAAACAATATTTACTGTAGCCTTTCCATTCTGCATTTTTGCCGTCATTTGCAGCACACCTTGTAAGCATTGATGCTTCTGCTAAAATAAATTACGCAGTGTGTCAGTGAGTAAGCATTGGCTTTCTTAAAAGGCAGCTTGTATTGATTTCTCTTAATGAACTACTCAAAGTTCAGAAGAGCTGTTGTAGCTGGTGTTCAAAGCAAGGGTCCCACTTTGGCATGTAAATATATTTTCAAGTCTTAGTGTACTGAGCCTTGATGTTCATCTCCTTCCTGCCCCTTCCTGAAGGTGAGATGAGAGGGGGAATCTTAACTTGGCAACATTGCATACAGTAAGCAATACTTCCTCCTGCAAAAGGTTTCCCTGGAATCAAAGGGAATGTGTTGCCTGATCTAGTCGACAGTTGGCGTCCCTGGCGGCAGGGAGGCTGGATTAAAATGATCTCTAAGGTCCCTTCCAGCTAAGGCCTTTCTATGATATGATATGATATGATATGAATCTTTGTAGAGTTAGCAGTGCACTAGAGTTAAAAGGAGCCATATGGAGTCATCAGCTGCTCGTTTCATTGGGAAGGCAAAGCAGACAACTTTCCCTCTCCCCTTCCACAGTTTGGTTTCAGAGGCCTGCTTCTTTAGTCTCTCTGAGATGCAAAGTTAAAATTCCTTGGGAATTTCCAACATGATGGGTTGATAGCAGATGTGCCCTTGGGTTTGCTGCCCTTTCCTCCTCCGTCATTTGTAAGGGATGAGCTCTCTCTTCTGCTCTGTAGCTGTGAGTGAAAGGAACTGAGAAGAAACAGCCACTGCATCCTCTTACCAACAGTGAGGGCAAAAGTCATGTAAGAAAATGAAAATAATAGCACAAGATAGAAGGAGAAGTGTAGACCTCCTTTTTTTCCTTTTATGTTGTAGAAGGATAAGAAAGTTGCCTGACTTCCTAAGATCATTTTAACAAAGCAGGAAGAGATGGAAATGCCAATACCACTCCCTCTTTCTTCTCTCCACACTCCGGGCTGATAAATAATTAACCATTTTTTTAAGCTATTTCTAAATGTCTTGATCTTCTAAAGGAAATACATGTCCATAGAACGTTTCAGAGTGCTGTTGCACAATACTTATCTGCAGTTCCATCTCCTCTTGCTGCCCTCAATGTGTACCTGTTGTTCATTAGGTTTTTTTCCCCATCATTATAGACAGAGATGGGAGGGTTTCTCCATATACTTCTTTTATCTGGCTGTGAGACAAGAAGCTCTTTATATTATAGTGGTTTTTTTCTTTCTCCTATAATTTATCATCACAAGAGCACAGAGGGGTGTCCTCACATCTAGGACATGAATAATGAGTGCCATTGCAACAGATGAGCACCTATGGCTAGGATTTGACTTTGTACTTCCTTCTTAACAGAATTACCCGTAGAATGAAGGAGAACTTGAGTGTTTCCTGTTCAGTTCATTATCAAATCCCAGCTATTGCTATAGAGGGATTTTTTTTAAGCTATCACAGGAGGTTTTATAATGAATAATCAATGTCTGGTTAAAATAAGAGCAATGGGAACATGACAGCTACAGATGTGTTTCAACAATAAGTAGCCTATTTGTAAAACTTCAAATTCTTTGATCACTCTCCTTAGTAAAGCCCTGTTAAGTTGGCTAAAGGATACTGCATTGTAATCCTGGATGATATTTTGTAAAGTACAAGCCAGAGGGTAATTGCATTAATTGTGTAGAGTTCATACCAACACACTAAAGCCAAGATTTCAGGTGAGTTATCTTTTCATGCTCTTACATGTAAGGTGTGCTTTAAATACAGTCAGAGGTTTTCTGAGGTGCAAACACCTGAATAGAAGTGAAGGTGAGGTAGACATTTAGTGCCCCCAGTGGAGAGAAAGCTGCAAAATAAGTTTAGATTTTGCTGACTGTTGGGAGAATTCAGACTGAGGAGAGGCCTCAGAAATTCCTTTACAATAAGGGAAGATGCTATTGAAGTTAGTGGTCAACGCAAGTCTGGGAGAAAAACCAGCTTGTTAGTTCTTGAATTCCCTGTTCAATATAAACGTCAGTAATTCTGTTCTCTAGAATGATTAGTCAAATTAATTACTGCTTTTTTCTTATGTCTCAAGGAGAGCATCTTAGAATAGTTTCTTAATCCTCAAGATCATTCATTTCTAGTTTACATTGCATATTTTGGTTGCATAGCCAAGTCATGCATTAGGGTCACTTTGAGATATCTAAGCCACCTAATTATATGTATTTATAATTACATACTGCAGTGGACATTAGAACAAGCAGTACCCTTTATATGTGCAAGATAGAATCAGTCTCAATTTTCCCTCTCCACAGCCCTAATCCATTTCTGAATTGCACTGTATTGGATGGGTGAAGTAGTGAAGTGCCACCAACAGAATCTGACTCCTCAAGTTTCTTTCCAACCTAAAGGCTGTTAGATGTTTCTCTTTCTCTTTCTGCATGACTGTGAGTATGCATGCACACAAATGCACGTCCATGTCGGTATGTAAATGCACAAATTTGCTGGCTATATGGCTTTCTGGCCCTGTGTGTGCTTTAACTGTCTTTTATTTCTGCCATGTGTTTCTTTTGTTTATGGTGTATTGAACACTTAGGTGTGCACACTTTACTTTACTACTTTAGTCTCTATTTTATTCCTTCTGTAGTTACGCACTTTCCTTTCTTCATTATAAGACCTTCAAGTAAACTTATTTACAGTAATTTCTGCCTATACTGCTTTCTCTTCTTAATTTTCTCTACAAGCTACTTCAAGAAACCAACTGAACTGGCAAAAGGATATTCATGCTGACAATATCTCTGATTTAGAGATCAACAGATCTTGCATTAAAAGTGAACATCATCAGTTTGCAGATGGGAAGGCAGAAGTACAGAAGAAACTTGTCCACAGTCTTTCAGCGTATTAGTGGTACAATTGGGTATCATCTTGCAATTCCTAATCTTCATCGAGTGCTCTTCCCATAACGGTGTCCCTGGTCTGGGTCACAGGCAGGTCATAGCAGCTCATGCCAGTGCGAAGTGGAAATGTGTTTTTCAATTATGCAGCTCTGAGAAAAATCCTCATTTGTAAAGATGGATTTAAGCCATTATCTTTATCCCAGAGTTACAAACTCTGCTTTCTTTAACTGTTTCATCTAAAATACTCTAAAACTAAGCTCTAGGACTTTTCATTTAACTTTATTATCTTTGCTGCTTAAAGAAGGTTAAAGCAGTCCATTTGGTTATATGGGCTGAAGATATAAAAAATGAATTTTATTGAAAACTATATGGCTTTTATTGGTTTGATGTTAGTGTGTTTAAACTCATATAAGCATCAGTGTCAATATGAAAAAGCGAAAAAATCCAGACCAACTCTTCCTAAAAACCCGTTGCAGTAAAGAGTTACTATGCTAACATTTCCATTTTTAAATTACATGTTAAAGGTTCAGTCTGTCAGCAGTCTAGGATGGTACTTTTTTTTTAAGTGATGCAAGAATTCTTCTTTTTGCCCTTTAAAAGAAAGTGTCAAATCAGTCCACTTCCTTTTCTGTTGAAGGAGGCTAAACTAACATAATATTAGTGAAGTCCTATGTATATAAAGTGCTGAAGAGAGGAGAATGAAGTGATGTTCATGTACCACCTTCAGCTATGCAATGTTCAAAGAGCTTTATTAAGCACTCTCTGGTTTCTCTTTCCATGAACAAAAAAGACCCTGAAGGAAAACAAAAATAGTCTACAATGAATATCAGAAAATACTTTAAAAGAGAATATTTTTTTACGTAAAGAGCAGTCTCATGTAGAAAGGGTATAATTATTGGAAGTACGAGGCTCTGTTTGGCTTGGCTTTGGTTTTGTCTATTAATTGAGGTCATTCCTGATAATGTGGCATTTTTGTAACAGTGAATAGTATATAGACTTTGGTTTCTGACTGAACTGTTCTTTTGCTACTCCTGTTAGTAGTTGGCAGTTTCATGCCAGATCAATACTTGTTTTTGTTTCTGAAAACTTTTGGGGACCCAGAACAGTAGGGGGAATGGCTTTGAAAGAAAAGCCTAGGAAATGAGGACAGGCCCTTACCAGGTTTTGGGAACAGGGAAGTAGCTAAATACCATAAACAAGGGGAGAGGCAGTCTGGAAGATACCAAAGCTGGCATGACGCTGGAGCGTGAAGCTTTTACAAGAACCCTGAAATTTGTGACTCTACCTCCAAATTCCATGTAGGAGGCAGTGCTAACAATGAGCCTGTTCTGTTTTGGTGGCACTGCTGAGTTTTCTTCTTAATATCTCACAGGAGGAGAATAGAAAATGCAAATGAGATATATTTTAGGGGAAGTTAAATACAGATAATGAAAAGGTTTCTATACTGTCAAGTACTGTATCAAAAGATTTTTATGAGTTATTAATAGTAATCCTCTTGATAAACCTTTCCTGTCAGAAAGAAATAAATGGATCTAAAGTGTTTCCTGTTAATTCCCACTTCTAAAATGTAGAATTTCATAATACTTTTCAAGAGGAGACAATCCCTCTGACGGAGTGTACAGACATATCTTTGAGGGCTGACTATTTTGACTCTTAAGGTCCAAATCTACCTTCCAAGAACACAGTATCTAACCCATCTTTCCTAATGATGAATTATTTTAAAACTTGCCACTGTAAAGGTATGGCTAAGTACATTTCTTGGAACATGGGATATCAGAACTTACCGGTTCCCAAAGAGAAACACCCTAATTGCATGCGAAGGAGGCAGATTGTCTGTTCCCCTATAGCTGTGGACAGCAAGACACATGCAGTATCTTTGTGTTGGAATAATTTCATACAAAATAGGTGCCTTCAAGAACATAGTGCATCACATAGAGAAATTTTCTTATGTGATCCTTGTATACTCTGCTGGGGTTTGGTTTATATCT